CAATTTTTTACATAATTTTAAATCCCTAGATAAGCTTTTATCTAAAACTTTTTTTTTTAAACTTTTTTTCTTTTATACTTTTATCTAAGATATTAAATATTTATATTTCAAAAAAAGATAACACCCTGCAATTATGGTAATGATACGTTTGCATTTTAGGGTAATCTTGTTCCAAACCTTAGCGCAGTTTTTGATAAAATATCATAACACAAGTATAATAATACAAAGGTTTAGAGCTCAGTCGAGGCAATGAGGGCAAATCTTCCCACCTTTTTTTGTCACTGATACTTGTTGTTTGCAGCCCTTTATAAAAAAAACATGCAATGTCAATAAAAACATTAAAGTTTTAATTTATAAATATGATGCTATAAGTTATTTTTTAAAGTAATTTGAAATTATTGACAATTAATTGACAAAGGGAGTGTAGTTTTGGTACTTCGTCCCTAACGATAAGTTTATGTATGTCACTTTAAATATATTTCAATTACGCATTCGCAATAACAAATTAATAATAAAATTATGACTTTCTTAGTAAAAACCAAAAAAAAAAAAAGAGAAAAAAAGGTTAAACCCATGGTGCGTAATTAAAAAAAAGATTTTCGCTTTAGCGTCATTTTTGTTTTATACCTTCATCGTTTACTTTAATAGTGATTCATTAAAACTGTGCAATGCAAATTTTAAATCGGACTATTGGAATACCATTATACAAAACCATTTTACAGTTGCACTGGTTAAGTTAGACGGGTATTCTGAAGGTGACCTAAGACCTTACATCATATCCAGTTAATTATTTTTTTTTTTGGTTTTGCAAGTAGTCCATTTGTACATTCCAAAACTATCAACATTTAAATCCTTTTATGGTAGCTTTTCGAGAAAACTTAACTACAATACTTGTTTAATTTAAGGATTATTACCCCTCTGGCTCACACTAAGACCCCTGAGAGTGGGTCAAATGGTAATACATTATTTATTGTCCTATTAGATTGACACTTAATAATTTTTGATAAAAACTCATGTTTTTTAGTTGGAATATTGACTAATTTATAATATTTTTAAAGTTAGCTATTTTTTTTATTAATGAGGATAAAATAGGTTTACGGGACGTTGTGTTGAAATCGACGTTGTGTTGTCCTACCTTTCAAAAGGTAGGACAACACAACGTCGATTTCAATGAAGTCTTGCAAAGAGCTGTCTGCGTCTACAACACAATGCATTTATAGTTAAAGGTATACATATAAATAAAACGTATATACTTTAGTTAAATCTAGTATTTTAAGAAAAAAAAAATTTAACTTTGTAAAGCCACAACTGTATTCCTGTATAATATGTAATGTCTAAATTTGGAAAATACGAAATTTCGTATTTCCCAAAATTATTGAAGTCTTAATGAACTGATTCCAACAATTGCTCAGTCCAATACCCTAAACCTTAATTGAAGGTATAAAAGATTAATATTTTTATATTAATATTTAATATTATATGAAAAAATTTCTGTTATTTTTTAAATATATACATACCAAACATTCCTCCTTTCATTACAATATACTCTTCAACATGATGCTCCACTATATGAACTTGTTTGAACCAAGATCTCTAAAAATATTTAATATATTCAGAGTAGTTTGGATTTAATGTTTTTCCAAAACGCCTTTGAACAACATTGCTAAAGTCTCTCAAAGCTTTCATATTTTCCACCAACAATATTGTGTTAATTCAGATAGATTTGAAAACGATCAAAATTTTTAAGAAACTTGTAGGATCCGTTTCCTTCTAACCTGTGTTCACCTTGATAAGGAACTTTGGAAAGATTAAATAACTATTTACAAAATAAAATCTTTGATTAGTGTTCTCAAACAAATTTTTTTCAATTAGTTTGAGAAGTTTGTCTATTATACCGAGAAAAATATGCAAGCCTGGTATATTGAAAATTTCTAAGATCTTCATTGAAAGATTAACTATTAAAACATTTTGCTTTTGCAATGTTTCCTCCAGCAGCCATCTATTTGTTATACCTTTGACAAAGAGAAGTTAGGGAATATGACTCAGCTCTCAGCATACTAGGTGCTTCTGTTTTACAACATGGACAAGGATGCATTGAATCTGATGAATGCTTTCAAACCATTAGCAGAAGAACATTTAGATCTTGTGAAATAGAGTCATCCAGAGAATTAAGTTTCAATTTATTCAATAACATTTTTATGTTTGCTCAATTTATCAATAGAGGGTTATACAGCCAAAACTAAAGTTTTGTGAACACTAGTATTCCACCCTTTTCTTTTCATTTGAATATGCATCAAGCTCTGGCTTCAATGTAATTGATAAGGTAAGCTTTAGATCTCCATCTACCCAAATCTTAACATCTACATTATCGGGTTCAAGAGATCTATGTTGTAAAACTGTTGCAACAAACTCAACAACATTATTGCATATTACACCAGGAATACTTCTTTTAATCCACTAAATAATAACAAAACAACTTAAATTCAGAGGATGTTGGTTTATTATATATTACCCACTTAATCAAAATATAAAATTTATATATTGAATTAAATTTTATTTTATAATAATACTTTAATATAACCTTTTATTGGAGCTAAAGTCAAAGTAAAATTATATATTTAATTATACCACTTTTTTCTTTTTTCTCCGTTATCCTGTTTAGACTGAATCAGCATAAGCTCAGCATCAAACAAAGACAATAGATTTTTATTATCTTCTGTTAATTTTTTGGAAAAAAAAGTTCAACAGATTTTCTTCCCCCATTCACTTGGGTAAATCGGGCAATCTCTAACATCTTATAGTCACAAGTAAATTGGATACAAATGTTAAAAACGTTTTTTTATAAAAAATATATTTTTTGAATTCTTTAGTATTCAATTTATACCTTGTATGAAATTTGCTTTGTCGTTGTTTCAGCTTTGAGTGAGAAAAGTAAAGTTTTTTTGTTCAACTACTCCAACAGAAACGACAAGTCTATTAGGGCCAAAAGTTTTCACTTTTATTTCTGTGTCATTGGTTACTAAATTGTTGATTGTGGTTGATAAAACTTTTTCTTTAGTTACAGGTGAGGTAGATTGTACAATAAGCCCAAAATTCTTTTGCTAAATTTGTGCAAGGATGTTTTATACCTTTTCCAATAAGTTGAAAACAACTTCTGAAAAGAACAAAGTTTTTATTGCTTGAGCAAACATTAACATTACTGCGAATGTGATCTACATCTTTATTAGTCTCACATAAAACCATTGGTGGAGAGTTGTCAGTTTAGTACCATTTGTACTCCCATTAATACAAATAAAACATTCACATTTCCCACCTCGAATAACTCTAATATTAAGACCTAAAAGTAATAAGAAACTAGTTTTTTTAAATGCAAACCTAACATTGTTTATTAGCAAAATACTAATAACGAAAAAATTAAATGGTTTTTATTGGCTTATTTTTTTTTAGAGAAAACTTACCTTCGCACTTAGGTCGAGCGGTGAATAAAGAGCATTTTGAGTCTGTTTTTTCTAAACTCACTAGATTTTTTCTAAACTCACTAGATTTTTTTATAAACTCACTAGATTTTTTCTAAACTCACTAGATTTTTTCTAAACTCACTAGATTTTTTCTAAACTCACTAGATCTTTTCTAAACTCACTAGATTTTTTCGATAATTTGAAAATAATATTTTAGGCAGATCAGGGTTTTCAACAAAGTAATTTTCCCAAAACAATCTCTTGATAAGATTTTTATAACTTTTTTGTTGATTTGGACATGAATTATTGCATTTGGTTTAAATGCATCTTAAATCATTGTTTTTTTTTTTAAACAGCTTGTACAAAAGCATTTTAAAAACTCGTTATGATCTTTAGCAAAGTTATGGCATTTCTTTTCCTTTCTTGAGAAATAGTTTCTATATTTTCAAGTTGGCTCTATTATATTAGAACTGTTAACTAAAAACAAAGTAGTTTTATTATTGTACTCGCTGTTATTAATTGTCTTTTTTAAGCATGTTTTTAAAAGGCTTCGTATCTTTTTGAAGTAATGACAATGAATTTTTCAAGTCAAACTTTACATTAAAAAAATTTAAAAACTCTTTTAAAACCGTATGTACCATTATTGAAGTAAAGTTTGGCAGAATTAACACACACTTCAAGCAAAAATCTTGTAACAAAGATATTTTTTGGACATCGAAACCATATAATGTTATTAGGTCCTTCATTACAATTTTGTATCTCTCCATGAATGCATTTTTTAAAAAGTGAATCGTCAGATAAGTCTCAAAATCCTTCTTTACAACATCATAAATCCATATAGGAATATTTACTTTAGGCTTGTAATTATCAATTCCTTCTCACAATTCTTCCAACAATACTAACTATTTAAAACCTCTAAGACACAGTATATGACGCCGCAGTAAATCTGGAAAGTTAGTACAACGATGATAATGATGCAATGAGGTGGTGTTTGATTCTATTTTTCAGCACTATTTTTCGAAAACTCATTAAATCTTCTTTTTCTTTTTCGTTCATTGTTTTTTTATTTCCTATTGCTATATATATATATATATATATATATATATATATATATATATATATATATATATATATATATATATATATATATATATATATATATATATATATATATATATAAATATATATATATATATATACATATATATATATATATATATATATATATATATATATATATATATATATATATATATATATATATATATATATATATATATATATATATATATATATTTATATATACATATTTGCAACTTAGTATTTATATACATATATACTATATATATATATATATATATATATATATATATATATATATATATATATATATATATATATATATATATATATATATATATATATATATATATATATATATATATATATATATATATATATATATATATATAATATAAATATATATATATATATATATATATATATATATATATATATATTCGGTAGAATAAAATATTAGGATTTAATTTTTCACACATTTTTATCATAAAAGATTGGGTGGTTTTACATATAAAATATTATCGAAGAGTTTTGCTTTATTTCTCGATTAAAAAAGATTGGGTGGTTTTACATATCAAATACTCTTAAATAGTTTTGCTTTACTTCTCGATTAAAAAGACATCTATTTAATAAAACATAAGAGTTTTTTATAAAGTTTATCAGTTTTTTTAACGAACTTTTTTCTTAATATTTAAAGCATACTCGATCAACCTAAGTTCCAGTGAGCTTGGTATCAACTTTTATCTTCTAAATATAGAGATAATTCACGAGTAATAAGCAAACTACACAAGATAACTTTGTCTCAAATTTTAAATTTTGGAAACTAAAGCTTTTCATTCATAACTTAATAAAATGATAAGTATTTTTTTTAAGTAAGTTAGAAAACTTTCCATCTTGGTAAACAAACGCCTTATTTTAAAAGATATTTTTCATGTGGATTTAAATTTGTCTCTCAACTTGCTCAACAAAATTTTTTGCTGTTCTGCTTTTATATTTTCTACAAAAACACCTGTTTGTGCAACTTCTTTGGGTGGGCAAATACTATCTTTAACAGTTTGAGGCACGTCATTGTTGGTGCATTTTGATTCGTAAAGACCTAGTTCGTGTTTAAAAATACCGAGTGCTTGCTCAAAGTAAGTATGTTTTTCTATTTCTTCACGTAACCTATTATTTGCAATGTTGTAAAAGATCAAATCAGCATAATTAAATTCTAAAATGGTTTTTTCAATATCGGGTGGTATCTGAACTGTTGCTTCTTCATTGCCTCGTCTTACGTTTTGCTTACGATACACTACATCTTGTATAGTGCAACATAACTTTTCTCTTAGTATAACCATAGACTCATCATATTTATCTGCAACAACAAAAAAGTGAAAAGCATCAAGTCGATCAATGATTTCCGCTTTTGTGCCGTTAATAATTCCTAAACTTCGAGTTTGCAAATTAGGTTGAATAAGATCAATTTGATATTTATCTCGTACCTCGTTTTCCCTGTAGGTTGTGTAAATATTTCGAACTAGTTGATAATGCTTAAAAAATATCCTAATGCTTTCCCATAGGTCTACGTTTTTTAATATCAATCGTTCTACAGCCGATTGTATTCTTGAGTATTTGTATAAAGAAAGAAAATGTTCGACTGGATGACGCACAGATGCCATAACAAAAGCGTCTTTGCTCATAAGTTTATCAACTGTTTTAAAAAGAAAATCATGTAACTAAATAGCAATTTTATGATAATTTTTTTTTATATCTCACACTTAAACTTTTAAACATTTAAAGTTGAAAATTAAGATTTGAAAAGTTTTTAAATTTTTTCTTACCAATAACAGGATCAAATATTAACTCATCAGCTATTAAGTCGCATTTCTCATCGTATACTTTTGTCAACTTTAATTCTTCTACTGCATTAGGCCAGTTCAAACCCCAAAGGTTTGTTGAGTCAAAGCATATATTTAAGTTGTACTGTTTACCATAAATAAGAAGAGTGCTCCTAAGAGTAGTGGAACCTGTTTTTTGCACTTTAACATAAATTATAGAACGATGCGGTTTTGTTTCCATATTGCACACTTTCTTCCAACTTGACGACTTCCTTAAAAATGGAATTAAACTCCCCAAATTTTTTTTTAATTCTTTAAAACCGATATAATGAAAAACTGCGTCAATATTAAACTCAAATAAAGAATATATGAACATAATAAATACAAAAATTAATAAAATATTAAATCGATTTAGAAACTTCATCTCTGAAATTCCAATTCCAAACTATTTTCGAACATTTTTATTTGTAAGTCAAACTCAAAATAACTTGAATACATTTTTTAACACAAAAGTGAAATTGCGTAGCAACGTGAAATCGCATAGCAACGTGTTACAGCTTTTTTTTAAACTAAAAGCTATATATTACTATTAGTTATTACCATATATAACTAAGTATAAAATATATAAAAGCCAATTTATTTTTATTATTATAATTAACAGAAAAAATAACCTGTAAATAATAATGATGAAAAAATAAAAAAAAATTGACCTACCTACAAAAAATGTAGTTTATCCATTTTTTTTCAACTAAACATCACATATAAACAATATCGGCCTTATCAAGAGCTAATGGAAAAAAAAAAATGTTTGGCTAAAAACAACCTTTTAAGAAAAATAAATAATTATATTGAATTTTCTTTAAATGAGGAGGTTAAAAATAATATTTGGGTTCTGCATGAAAAATTATTTTTTTTGAAATGCATTAATTTATTCTTAACTGCCAATTTTTAACAAAGCTTCAAAATATTGAGCCCTTCTTATTTTTTTAGTTTAGATTTCTATAAATTTTGCAAAGTTTATTTTCCCTTATATGTTGCCTATAACTTATATCTAATTTTTTCATTTAATTATTTTTGGTGTTCATATTGGATATATTACAACTAATTCAAATAAAATAAATTACAACTAATTAAAATAAATTAAAACTCAAATTTGACTACTAATATATAAATAATAAACACAAATATGCTCAAAAAGAAACGGACGGCGAAAAACCACTTGAGTCTTTTTACAAAACCTCAAGTACCACAACAAATTTGAATATAAAGTTCTGTGTAAATATATTTAGTTAAAAATTTACCTTATAAATTTTAAATAATAAATAATAATAATATACTTTAAATAATGAATCATAAATAGTAAGAAATGAATTTAAATAATTAAAAAGTTTAAAAGATGTGAGAATCATTTCATAATATGCAATAAAAATTTAGTTATTTGTTAGAAATTGAAATAAGTTTAAAAATTTTGCTACTTTAAATTTTATTTCTGAAAAATTTTCATTGCTTACATTTGGAGTTTTAGATAAAATTAGATTAAAAAAAAAAAAAAAAAAAAGATTTTAGAGTAAAAAAATGTATACTTTTTTCTTTAATATAAAACTTTCGATTCCAAGTAAACCAATCAAATCCTAGTTATAAACCATGTCAGAGTTTGTGCAGTTGTATTTAGAACAAACAGTTAACTTAGGACGTTTAGGAACGTAAGCATTTATAATATATAAATAATTTTGCTACAATTGCTTTTGATTTTTTTAATACCCTACATTGCACAGGTGGTGGACCAAAGTAAAAAAAAATACATTTTTAAAAATCGCATTATTGTATACCATTTTATAGCTTAAACATTCAGCTTTTATAAAATGTATATATTTTTGTATAACTACCATGTCGCATGCTTCTAAGCCGTAGAGTGAGAACCTTTTTTTTTAAAAAAATATTTCCAAATTTTTTTTTTCAAAGTTAATCAAAAATAATATTTTTTTTACTAATAAGCATGGAATTTTAAAACCTCTCTTTGTATAGCATGGTTTAATAAAATTAAGTATATTCTTTTAAATGAGTTATTACACCACTATTTTTACGCGTAAGTTATGTCGAATAAAATGATTTCAAATGATGGCGTATTTTAAGTACGTTTTTCAGATAAAATTTTTCTTTTATAGTCGAATACTTTTGCGGTCCAAAGCGGTCCAGTAATTTGAGACTTGAAATGCATTGTTCAATATGTATATTATCAATATAAATTTGGTTTACATAAATCATTATTAGAAACAAGTCGGTAGTAGCGTAGCGACAAAAAATAGTCCTCCCACAATTTTTTAATCCGGGCCCCTAAATTAATTTTATGCTCCCCCCCTTTTCCAAATCTTGACAAAAATTATACATGATAACAAAAAACTTATTTTTAAATATAGTTTTTGTTTATTTTTAAGTCTAAAATTAAAAGTAGAAAATCTAATGAAAGTTATTATTGTCTTTATAGCTGCAAATTGGTCTATAACACCTTTCAAATTTAGTTGAGCTGTCTATAACACCTTTCAAATTTAGTTGAGCTGTCTATAACAGCTTTCAAATTTTCTACTTCAGTAGCTATTAGGTCTAGTGCACACAAAATAATTTGCGCTTTTGTTGTCCGTAAATGTCTTTTGTGTATGTAAATGTAAATGTGCTTATTAAATTTTGCTTATTAAATTTTGTGTTTGTAAATGTAAATGTGCTTATGGATCTTTTTGCAGTTGCTACGCCAGTGGCTGGTTTTAGAATGGTGTGGGCAATGAGGTTAGTAAACTGACGAATGAAATTCACTATTATACATAATTATGCGTATATGAGCTTAAAAATTAAACTAAAGTAAAAAAATTAAAAGAGAAAATTACTTATAACTGAAAATAAACGGACTTCTTTTCTTGTTTTCAAATCGTTTTAGCCCCCTCCTTGGCAAGTGACAAATCCCGCCCCTGTGCTAAGCTAATGGGTATATATGGGAATAATACGCTAATGTCAAATATAGCTTAAGTGCTGCTACCATATTTTTAAATGAGCAACTTATTTCATAATATGTTACTGTGGAAAATAAAAAAATGCGGAAATTTTCAGTGACACTTAATCAATGATGATAGATTCAATCTTCATAGTTTTTCGCAGTATAAAATATGTTGCTTTGCGTTGAATAAATTCAACCAAGGTTTAATTAGTTTAAAATAAGAAGCACAAAAAGACACTGTGTATTTGTGATGTGGTCTAATAATTACTTTCTACAACTTGAAAGATTTTCATCAATGAATATGTCTTTTTGTACACCAAGAATTTGTTGGCACTTTGAGACAATTGTTCGAAAATGTGTGCTCCACTTGGTGTTACATGAAAAACGACTCCTAAATTACGCGCTTAAGTAGAACTTTTTAGGGATTGATATATACTTTTTTAAATTTTTTACTTTATATATATTATATACCTTTTTATTTTGTTTCCATTTATTACGAAATATCTTAATGTTAACATAGGTCTGTTTTGAAGCAGAGAATCAACGCTTAGGCGAAATTGAGATTACATTAATAAATTAGTGAAATACTATAGATAGATGAAATAATATTAAAAGTCTCCATTTGATAATTCACGCATAATTTATGGTGAAAAAGGCCATGTTAAATTTGAGAGAGCATTTTATTATCGTTAATGTGCTTAAAGATTTTGTTCTGAACAAGTATTTAGACTATTTTTTTTACTGTCTCTTTGTAATAATACTGAACTTAATAGTAGTAGTGCCCTTTAGAGGCTGTTTGATACAATACTTTTGGCAGCCATTGCAACCGAGGTAATAGCGAGAAAGAGTAGCAGCACTTTTTTATGTAAGAAATATCAACTAAAGTGTATGCTAATATCTAACTTACGCAAATATCTAACTTTCTTCAAATTATGTAATGTTAAAAACATACTAAAACATATATTAAGTTTTTCAGTTTTACTTTGAAAATTGCATTGTGGCAACATCTCCTTAAAACTTGATCTGTAACACTTAATTCCGTTTGATAAAGTTTTTAATATTTATATACTTTTAAAATTGCATTAACAATAAGCCTGGTCAACGAGTCGTTAACAGGGCCTTTGAGAGGGAGGGGCCTTGGGGGCAAATTGACCCGGGCGCCAAGCCTGAAGGGGCGCCGGATTTGTTGTTTTTTTTTTTGTTTTTGATTTTTACAATAAATAAAAAGCATTTTTATGACTGATAATTTGAAATCTATTTAGTTTTTGTATTTAAGATTTAAACTTTTTCGGATGTTCGGAGTAAAAACGAAAAAAATAACTTAAATTTTAAATACTATTACTATAATTTTTTATATACTATTTTGTAAGAAAAATATAGGATTTAGTTGTAATTAAATTAGGCGGAACTGAGCGTATTATTCAACAGTTACCATGCCAGTTTGTGTTCGATAGCATGGCAGATGATGCGCTGTGGTAATTATATGGTACTTAATCAGTCAACACTGACTTATTGAAGTAGTCAACACTAATAGCATTGAAATCTTCGTTAAGAAGTGCGTTGAATACATTACCAAGTTTCTCACCCATGAATCACGTTGAACACACGACAAGTTTCTCTCAAGTGAGAATCTTGGTTGTTCAAGAAGTTGAAGCAAGACAAGGCATATGTTGAAGTGAGACGAGACATATCTCGTCAATTTCACGATAAAAGCGCTAATTTTTCAAGTAGTACTTAACTTTTGAAGCAAAGGAAAAAATCATAGCGTCACTTTTTTAGACAAATGAGCCGCTTTGTCTTTACCTAGACCCGGCCAGTTATCAAATATTTGAGTTTACGCATCATAGCTGTACTCAATATGTGTAGTTTACTGCACAAATGTAAGATTTAAAGGAATGCGGATCAGTGGATGCCTTAAACAATTCCTCTGAAGCTGAGTTGAATGAATTTCAAAATGCGAGTCATAATTTCAAAATCCGAGTCATAAAAAGTAACTTTATCTAACAACAAAAAATGTGATGTTCAACCTGACTTAGTAATAATTAATCCTAACTCCTCTTTGAAGTCAGTTGTTTTGAGTTAAAAAGATCAAGATGTAATTACTTTAAAAGGACCCCCAGCACGAAAGCAGTTTTCAAAAGTGGGTAATTGTCACTTCTTCGTTGGAGGAACTGAGGAGCTAAGAATCAATTAAGGAAACTAATAAATCATGTGAAGCAGCATCAATCCAACACATTGCACCAAAAGTTCTACATGGATCGAAAAGAAGCATACATTAGTCTTACCAGTTTACTGGTAAATAATCAGAGCTCCAGAAGTAAATAAATTCTGAGAGCAAAACGGAGGACAATGATTCGGAGAATTTTGAATGTGACTCTTTTCTTGGCTTCTAGAAATTTAGCTTTTCTAGTTAATTCATTACAAAGTTCTCTTTTATTTTATAAATATTTTAATTATTTATAT